CGGCAGCCGGCACTGCTTTGTCCTAACCTGCCTCTCCATCGCACCCACCCGCGCAGGACCGGCTCCGCTCCCTGGATGAGAAAGTCGGGATACAAAATGGGGAAGGATTTTGCCAGGTTTCTGAGTCCAGCCGCGAGTCTAGTATAAAAAGAAACAACCACCAAAAAAGAATGCCAGACAAAAAAGCCATTATGCTTCCACCGGGGGGTTGTATTTCAGGGAGGGCTCCCTCGGGTCGGGACAGAAGTTGCAGAGCTGTTTTGAAGCAGGTTCTGCTGCACAGGGTTCCTCCGGGGTGTTTGCTCTTGCTGTGGGTGCTCTGGAGTGTGGTTTTGTACATAACGGGGTTGGAGCAAGCGGGATCCCTCTTCCCAAAGCCAGACCCCAGGAATGGCAGGAGCTGTAGACCCTCTCCATTGCACAATGTATTTTATTTATCATTTCCGCCCCTCACAACGGAGTTTCATGAGATTTGCTTGACTTACTTGATACGTCAAGGATGCTCTCCTCCTGCGTGAGACAGAAATAGTCCCAGTGTTTTATTTTTCCAGCATTTTTTCCCTTCTAGATTAGGATGTTTTTTCTTTCCTTCTAGATAAGGATTATTTTTTTTAAGTTTTTGTTTTTCTTGGTAGCTATCTACTGGTAGATTATTTATGTATGATGTTCCTATTTTTCCTATTAAATATAATTTCAACCCATTCAGCTTGTGTGTCACTGTTTTGTGAGAGCAGATGTTCTGACACTTGTTTTTACTCCTTAATCTTGCTGTTAGACAGCATTTTATATCTGGACTAATCAGCCCAGAAGGTACCCAAGCCTTTTCCACAGCCTCTCCCAGCCTCCCTACTCACTGCAGTAGGGATGTGTTTAACGAAGCTGGCAGCAATCAGGTCCTCTGCTGATGAGGAAACCCGTTGCCTGAACCCAGTGCCTGTGCCCTGGAGGCTGGAAGTGTGGGGTTTGGTGCAATAGTACCTTGTTGCCCTCCTGCTTTGTTTTCCAAAATAGGAGCAAAATAGTTCCCTTTATTTTGCAACACGCCTGTTACGGAGGAGCAAACCCGGATCCAGCCCCTTCCCAGCATGGCTGGGTGCCCGGGTGCCACCGCAGCCGGTGAGCTTGCCCCGAGCCGTGCAGTGCCAGCGCAGCTGGCAAAGACCAGGAGGAAGTAAACTCACTAATTTCAAGCTCCGTTAGAAGTGCAGGAAACCTGTGGGATCAAAGGGTTTGGTGCCAAGTGTGGAGAAGGGCAGTGCCAGCCAGGCGGGACCATTATGGGCTTGGGGGGGGGAAAATAAAAAAAGTGAGAAAATCACAAAATAAGTAACACGTGGTACATGGCCGGGCTCCCGTGTTGGATGTTTGTGGGTAAATGGTATCTGATACTGGGGAGCTGTGGGGGGAGCTGGGTCGGGGCAGTTGCAGGGGCTGGAGCCGTCCTGGGCAGGGGCAGGTGACTCGGGGTGACGGTAGGGAAGGGGCCATGCTCTTCCCCAGAGCTCGCGGGGGGTGCAGGCAGGTGTGATTTTTGTTGTAATTAAGCGTATCTGAGCCGTGCTAGATCCCCGCTTGACTCTGTGTCTGGCCGTTGCTGCTGTGCCGTGTGCCGGCCGTCTGCAGCCCCGGTGCCTTCCTGGAGCCACGTGCTCTTTAGCTCTTCTTGTGAGTGTCTCTTCTTGCACCTACTTGAATTTTCCAAGCCTTTCCCTAGCATGATTTCATACGAATGCTTAGTGTTTCCCTGTTGTTGCCACCCCACCGACCTTCCCTCTCAGACCCGTCTCAGTTGGCTTTCCCCCAGCAAGGCCACGGCGGAGTAGGGACAGGCGGCAGAGAAGGGGCTGCGCTGCCTCCCCCTGCCCCTGCAGCCCCCGCGGGGGCTTCTGCTGCCGGACGGGCTGCCGTCAGCAGCCACCGCGCTCTGACCATCACCTTGTCCCGGGGCTGGGGCAGACGGGCGGGGTGAGCTTGCCCAGCCTGTGCTGGCCCCTGGTGCTGTGGCTGG